GGTGAGGGGGTCCCACAGTTTGGGGGGAATGAGGTGGTGAGGGGGTCCCACAGTTTGGGGGGAATGAGGTGGTGAGGGGGTCCCACAGTTTGGGGGGAATGAGGTGGTGAGGGGGTCCCACAGTTTGGGGGGAATGAGGTGGTGAGGGGGTCCCACAGTTTGGGGGGAATGAGGTGGTGAGGGGGTCCCACAGTTTGGGGGGAATGAGGTGGTGAGGGGGTCCCACAGTTTGGGGGGAATGAGGACGAGAGGGGGTCCCACAGTTTGGGGGGAGCGAGAAGGTGAGGGTGTCCCACAGTTTGGGGCAGAGGGGGCTCGTGTTTGGGGAGTGGGAGCTCCCAAAGGTTTAAGCTGTGACCTCAGTGACTCCGGTCTGTTGCTGTAGGAACCAGCCCCCATTCTGTCACCAACCTAACGGTGAGGCCAGATGTGTTTGCTGTCAACGTCTCCTGGGAACCTGGCTTCGATGGTGGTCACCCACAACATTTCACTGTCTGGTAGGATCCTGTCTGCCTGACCCTCCTTCAAATATTCCCTTTCATGGTGGTACCTTGGCCCTATCTACAGGCCCGTTGCCTCCTTTGCACCCTCCGAATGTCATGGGGTCTGAGGATGACCTTTCACCCACTCCCTTTGCTCTTAAGGGTGTCCATTACAGATTTTGCTTTCTCCCGAAGGGATAGCATTATCTAACTGTGACCCCCTTTGACCCCCTAGTGGTAGAGGTCACAGTGTGGCACTGACCTTTCACCCCCTGGCAGTGGGGTCACAGTGTGTGTGATACTGACCTTTCACACCCTGGTGGTAAGGTCACAGCGTGATACTGACCTTTCACCCCCTGGCGGTGGGGTCACAAGTTGTGTGATACTGACCTTTCGCCTCCTGGCAGTGGGGTCACAGTGCATGTGATACTGACCTTTCACCCCCTGGCGGTGGGGTCACAGTGCATGTGATACTGACCTTTCACCCCTTGGCAGTGGGGTCACAGTGCGTGTGATACTGACCTTTCACCCCTTGGCAGTGGGGTCACAGTGTGTGTGATACTGACCTTTCACCCCTTGGCAGTGGGGTCACAGTGTGTGTGACCCTCTCTCTCTCTCTCTGTCTCTCAGGTTCAGGCAGATATCCCGTGGGTCCCATGACTGGATTATCCGAATGGTTCCAGATGGACACTGCAGCCTGAGTGTGGACCATCTGTGGTCGAACACCAGCTACCAGTTCAGTGTCCTGGCCCAGAGTGATCGTGGGAGTGGGCCCTTCAGTCAGATCGTCAATACCCATACCCTCAGT